CATTGTGTAATCAAATCAAATGCTATACCTAACAAATTTTAAGAAAAAATGTAAGTAATATTTTAACATGATCTGGAGTGAGCATCTACCTTTTGAAAACACAATGATCTATATAATCCCTTATGTGCCATGGTTGATGCTAGAAACATTGTTTCATTTTCTCAATATAATAATCAATGTATTACTACATACTGCCATGCCTGTCCTCCAGATGAGGACACTGGGGATCTAATAAATTTTAGAAAGGGTTCATGGATTCACAGGAAGTAAAGTGCATAACTAGGACTGTACTCCATGGTTATTTGGCTCCAGATCAATGGTTTTGGTTTTTTTGGGTTTTTTTTTTGCACCAACATATACATACACACACACGTATATACAAACATACACACACACAAACATTCAATTATCTTAGCCCATTTTGTTTTGCTATAACAAAATACTACCTTTTGGGTAATTTATTAAAAAGAAGTATATATTTCTCAGAGTCTGAAAGCTGGAAAGGCCCGGATTCAGGCACTAGCAGGTTTGATGTCTGGCAAGGGCCTGGCCTTCACTTCCAAGCTGCTTCCTTGACTGCTGCATCCTCCAAAAGGTTCCTCCCATGGAAGAGGAGCAGAAGAGGATAAACCCATTCCCTCAAGCGTTTTTTAAAATGGCATTAATACATTCAGAAGGACAGAGCCTTCATGACCTAAACACCTTCCACTAGGCTTAACCTTTCAACACTGTCGAATTTGGATTAGATTTCCAACATAATGAGTTTTGGAAGGCACATCATTAAAACCATGGCATCAATAATGGAAAATTTCTTATTTTATCTGCTAACTCTTCATTCCTACTGTTTTTCTGTTATGATTACTAAGCAGTTTAATATTGTTTAGTGTGTGCTAGGTAAAGTTGGAAGTAATGTGCAAATTAAGGAATATAACAAAGTGTCCGAAATCTGTTTATCCTTGTTCTGCATTCCTATTTTGTGCTCGGTGAGGGATTCCTCAAAGTTATCTTTCTTGTGTATGAATAGGATTTCGTCTTCTTTAAATTGATGATGCTAAATTCCTTTAAATAAATGTATTTCCATGTGATATTTTTCTTCACTGTGGATATTGCAAAGGGCAGCAGCAGTGTTTTTCACCCTGTGTGATTCGTGGGGCAAGGACTTTTGCTGATTTGCTTTTAGACTTCTCAGTGATTCTACATAAAGAGCTAGAGTGACTTGATAATGGCAATGAAAGGAGATGTAGCAGTACCAGTAATAGCAGTAACAGCAGAATTGTGAGTAGTAGTAACTGCTGCTCGAGTAGGAAGAAGACAACACCAGAAGGGATGACGCCCCAAACCCATTTAAAAAATACATTTTCAATTGGCAGATAACATTGTATGTATTTATTATGAACAACATGATGTCTTGAGGTACCTTGTGGAATGACCACGTCTAGATAATTAACACATGCTCTACTGCACATAGTCAATAGTTTGTGGTGATACCATTTAACATCCACTCCACAGAATGACAACTCCCTCGTGATCTCACTTTCATGTGGAATCCAAAAATATTGATCCAAAATCTCTTTTCTTTTCTTCTTTCTTTTATGAAGTTTATTTAATTCTTCTCATGAGACAGAGACAGAGAAAGAGACAATCACTCTCAACGTAGATAATCTAAAAACAAACAAATAAAAAACAAACAAAAAAACCCAAGTTTTTTATTCTCACTTTCTGTTTAGCCAAATAATGGGCAACTGTGTGTGTGCCCGTGTGCACAAGTCAGCCCGGGAACCAAACTCTGATCTTCTCTAAGACTTCAAGCATGGCAGAACACTATGCTACTGCTGCACTGCCACAGGTGGACCTAAAGCCCCCTGTCTCATTGCCTGCTTCATATACTTGAGTAGATCTCTACTGGTGCTAGCTGTGGTCTCCTGTTCTTGGCTCTTTCGACATGGGAATGACGAATATTCTGAATTCGATTAGATGCTCTCTCCTAGGAACTTGGAATTTGGACTGGAAGACAGAACATACTTAGGGTGGTATCCCATGAATGGTGAAGGCACAGGACCCCAGTAACTGTGGTTCCTGAGTGACCCTAATTGCTGTGTGCCCAAGGTGTCGACTCTTCTTCTTCCACCAAGTAGCATTCAAACTCTCTTCTCCATCCCCTTTCTTGAGTTAACTTTTTCATTTATTTGCAAGCAGGAACATCTTATCTACTGTAACAATAATAATACTTTTTGTTGAGTTTTAGTAGAAGCAAACAGGCTTGCATCATAGTCGCTATCATATAGCCTTCACCATAACCTTATGAAATGGACACTATTATTATTTCACTTGTCAGATTAGCAAACTGAGGCTGACTGATACTAAAGATATTTTTCAGATTACACTTGTAATAAAGGCTCAGCTGACCTAGCTTTCTGATGCTAACAGTGATGATTTTAGCGAATATGCTATGCTCATTTATAGCAGCTTATACTAGCAAAAGTTAATACTAGAAATAGAAAGAGGAAATGTTAAGGGATTGTGGTTGCTGAAGAAAATTAGGCAGTGGTAGAGGTAGTGAAGATTTAACAAGTCTTTTAGAGGGCTAGGAAACAGAATGGAAAATTTATAGTAACTGTGGGGAAGCATTTCTGACCATAAGGTTTGTAAGCAGGGGAATAAGTTACTGAGGGGATAGTAAAATTAAAAGCTGTAATAAAATATTAAATAACTATTCATATGGAGCAGTTTATGTAGACTTTAATGTGAAGGCAGGGAATTGGAATTGAATTCAGCCTTGAAAAATGTTGTGGACTCTTAGAAGCGTAAAAAATTTAGTAGCTAATAAAAAGGCGTTTTTTTCCTCCCCGTAAGGATCCCCTTGTAATATGCACAGCTTGTAATATTACAAATATTAAAATTATTTATTTTACTCTAAGCATCAATGATTGGGTGTAGTAGCTGGTTAGATAGACTGAAATTAAGTAAAATTTTAAATTCCTTTGAAAAGATGTGAATTAATATAGACTCCTGGTATTACTATTTGAAAATTCATAGAAATATTCTTCTAAACTGTTGAATAATTTCTTTTAATGATAAAATGAATAAATCCTTTTCCACTCAAACAGGGTATTATATAGGTTGTAAAACTATAAGTAAGTAAGATTGATCTCAGTTCTCTAAGTTATAAATATTCTAAGTATTCTAAGTTATAATGGGGAAAAAAATCTAGAAAAGACTGAGGTAATCCTCAGGAACCAACATAGATATACTAAAAAAAAACAAGTCTTTTAATCTCATTTTCTGTTTAGAGACTTGATAAGTTTGTAGCAGTAGAAGGTCTATGATTATGATCATAGCAATGAAAGAATCAAGTTGAAAGTGGGAAAAAATATGAATGAGTGTTTGAACCTAATTATCAATTGCTCTTCAATTTGGAGGAAAGGAACAGATTTCTATGTAACGTTGCATTGCTGCCATCTCAAATCCAAAAATGTTATCAAAAGCTATCAAATGATTAGAAATGCTAGTTTTAACATGCATTAAATATTCATACATACATAATGGCTACGTGGCTGTACTCCCATGTAGTCGAAACAGTTTGAGTTCTGGACCCAGTGGCTTAAACTCACGCCGGGCACGTGTGCGTGTGTGCCCAAGATCCTGAGAGGAGAATGGAGGAGAAGGGATTGCGGCATGGCCATCCCCCCTGGGGGGTGATTTCTCGATTTCTGTCTCTCTGTCTCTCTCTGTCTGTCTGGCGAGCACACGTGCCCTATAGTATAGTATATGAGGGGTCTTCAAAAAGTTGATGAAAAATGCTTATTATGAAAAAAGTATGCATAGATTCCAAAAGGATTTTTTGCACCAAAATAAACTTGAACTTGATTCTTATAATAGCTAAAGTGAATTTTATCTGTTACACAAGTTTATATTCTATAATCTTGTAGTTTGCATTCTTTTATACATGGCATATTTAGTTCAGCATTATGTTTGTGAGATTCATCCATGTTCTTGTGTGTAGCAATACTTTCTTAATCTTATGACTGTATAATGCTTTATTATTTGAACATTGTCTCACTATTTTTAATCTTTTCTACTATCAAAGGACATTTGGGTTGTTTCTATTTGAGGATTTTGTGAATAGCTCTGATATAAACACCATTATACAGTATGTGAACATGCACACATAATTCCGCAGTGTATATGCCAAAAAGAAGATTGCAGGATCATAGGGTTTGCATATTTTTAGCTTCAGTAGAAAAACCTGAAGAGTTTTCAATGTGATTGATGCAATTTATGCTAACACTAGCCCTGTATGAGAGGTCTTGTGGATTCACATTTTGAACAACTTTTCATAGTCTTCTCCATTTCAGTCATTGTGATGAGTGCATCATGGCACTGATTGTGATCTTGTATGTTTTTTCAAAAGATACATAATTCAATAAAAACATCCGTGATGTCCAATATACTATTCATTGTCTTTGAGTATATTCACAATACTGTGCGACTCTCACCACGATCTAGTGTCAGAACATTTTTATTTTATTGCCCTAAAAAGAAACTCTGTACCAATTAGCAGATGCTGCCATTTTCCTTTTACCGTTGTATCTCAGAAGACAATAATGTATATTTTGTCTTCGTGGACTTGTCTATGCTAGATATTTGTGTCAATATAATCATAATTTGTGGCCTTTGTGTCTGGCTTCTTTCACTTAACATGATGTTTTTAAAGGTCTTCTACATTGTGGTATGAATCACAATTTCATTCTTATGGCTGACTACTATTTTATCATGCTTATCCATTTTAGATTTCAAGTGAATGGACTTTATTTATCCATTCATCCATCAAGAGACATTTTTTTTCCACTTTTAGTTATTATGAATAATGCTGCTATGGACATTCATGTACAAGTTTTTGTGTGGAGAAATGTTTTTAATTAGGTTACCTTAGATGCATTCCTTAGTGGAATCGCTAGATCATATGCTAATTTTTTTCTCTTTTTTATGATATTCATGAGTGTAAGAGAGAGAGCGAGGAGAGCGAGAGAGAAAGAAATACTCTCAACAAGTTCTTGTCATGCTGTGATTGCTTTTCACCAGTCTTCCAGCTTCTCAGGATCTTGGGTACTCTGTGCATGGTAAGTGTGTTTTCAAATCAAGTTGGGAATTTGAACAACCAGTTAGCCATATGACTTCCAGCCTCAGAGGCAACTTGTATTGGCACTATATCTAGATTTCCATAGCTAAAATTCTGTTTACCTTTTTTTTTTTTTTTTGGAGAGGTTTTTGCTATAGGGCGCATGTGCTCACTAGAAAGACTGAGAGAGACAGAGAGATAGAAAGCAAGAAGACACCCCCCAGGGGATATGGCCACACCGCCGGCCCTTCTCCTTCATTCTCCTCTCGGGATCTTGGGCACGCAGGCATATGCGCGTGACGCGAGTTTAAGCCACCGGGTCCATGACTTGAACCACAGTTGACTACATGGGAGTTCAGCGACATAGCCCTTACGCTAACTGCTGGTCTCCTGTTTAACTATTTAAAGAACTACCAAACTGTTTTTCAAAGTGACTGCAGTATTTTACATTCACCCATCATTGTCTGAAGGTCCCAATTTCTCAAATATTTATTGATAGTTCTTATATTCCTTTTTAAAATTGTAATGGTATCTCATTGTGGTTTTGATTTGCATTTTCCTAATGGCTGATGATAAATGTTTTCTCATGTGCTTTATTCCATTAGTATACGTTCTTCAGATAAATTTCTGTTTGGGTCATTTGCCCATTTATTAACTGGGTTATTATCTTGTTATTGATGTAGAATTCTTTATATGTTCTGGATACTAGGCCTTTATTAGATATACAATTTGCAAATATTTTCTTCTATTCTCTGGTTTGTCTTCTCACTTTATTGAACAAGTGTTTTTAATTTTGCTGGAGCCTAATTTATCCAACTTTAGGTCAGTTGCTTGAGTTGTTGGTATCACATCTAAGAAACCATGTTTAATCCAAGTCATGAAGATTTGCATCTATGTTTTTGATGAGTTATATAATACATTCATGCCATTGATCCATTTCGAGGTGATTTTTGTATACAGTATGATGTAGTTTCCAATTTTATTCTTTGCTTATGGATATCCAATGGTTTTAGTACCATTTATTGAAAAGATTTTACCCATTAAATTGTTTTAGCACTCTTGTTGAAAATTAGTTAGCCATAACGTATAAGTGTTTATTTTTTCAATTTTCTTTTATAAATAATGGTATTTAGAATTATTTTGTATGCTAATTGTAATATATATATATATATATATGTATATATATATAGTTATTCTTGAAGTCTTTGTACATTTTTGCCATTCTATTAGATAATTTTTGTTTCTGTATAAACCAGAGTATGTTAGCATTCACCAGAGAGAAAAAGAAGGAGCGAGAGAAGAGAGGAAGAAATCACCCTTCAGTGGGGGTGGTCACACAGTAATCCTGTCTCCATTTTTCCACCTTGCTGAGATTTTGAGCATACATGCACATGCACTTGGCATGTTTTTCAAGCTGCTAGGACTAGAATTCAAACAACATGGTTGGCCATGTGGGACTGGCTCCCTTAACCACTAGGCCATGGGACTTGTACTTCTCAACTGGTTTATAGAAACTCTATGAATTCTTATACTATTCTCTATCAGTATATGTTTCACAGGAATTCTCTCCTCTTTGTGGTGTGATTTTGACTCTCCTAGGAGTGTCATCATTAAAAATTCAAAACTTTAATGCAGTCCTATTTATCATTTTACCTTTTATAATTCATTCATTATGTATCCTGAGGAAGAAACCTTAGCATATTCAGATTTTTAGTTTAGGAAAACATTTTAGTTTTTAAAAAATCTTTATTGTTGGGCCAGCTGATGATATGGAAGTTAGGAAACTGACTCCCACATGAGATTGGGGAATATTGGGCCTGGAGATTTGAAAATCGTGTTGGACACATGAGCAATTGTGCTAAAAAATCTCAAGACATGAATGGAGAAGAAGAGATTGTGGCATGGTCATGCCCCCGGGAGGATGATTTCTCACTTTCCCTCTCACTCTCTCTCTCTGGCAAACTCATACACCCTGTGGCAAAACTAAAAACAAACAGAAAAAGAACCTTATTATTTCACCTTTCATGATTAGATCTAAAATCCATTCTATAAAACTTTTAACGAAGAGTTAACCCCATTCTGCTTAAGTTATTTCTAAAGATCCAAAATGGTAGAACTCTCCCAAATTCATTCTATGAAGTCTCCATCACCTTTATCCTTAAAACAAACAAGGACAGGACAAGGAAAGAAAACTATAGACCAATATATCTGATGAATATAGATGCAAAAATTCTCAGTAAGATACTAGCAAATCATATCCAACATCATATAAAAGAGATTATACATCACGACCAGGTAGGCTTTTTTTTTTTTTTCTCCCAGGGATGCAAGGTTGGTTCAACATATGTAAAACCATAAATGCAATACAACATATTAACAGGAAGAAAGATAAAAGTCATGTGATCATATCAATTGATGCAGAAAAAGCATTTGATAAGATACAACATCCATTCATGATCAAGACTCTCAGAAAACCAGCATAGAAGGGTCATTTCTCAACACAATAAAAGCTATCTATGGAAAACCCATAGCTAATATCATCCTGAATGGGGAAAAGCTGAAAGCTTTCCACTAAAAACTGGTAAAAGACCAGGATGCCCACTTTCTCCACTCCTCTTCACTATAGTACTGGAAGTCCTCGCCAATACAATCAGAAAAGAGAATAAAATAAAAGGCATTCAAATGGGAAAAGAAGAGGTGGAACTATCTCTATTTGCAGATGATATGATTGCATACATACATGACCCAATGGTATCCATGAAAAGTTCCTGGCAGTAATAAATGAATATAGTAAAGTTGTAGGATACAGAAATCTACAGCATTTCTATATACGTACAGCAGGCAGACTGAAATAGAACTGAAAAAAAGTAATTCTATTTACCATAGCCACAAAAAGTATACGATACCTAGGAATAAATTTAACCAAAGAGTTGAAGACCTCCACAAGGAAAACTATGGGAAGCTAAAAAAAAAAAAAAATTAAAAAAAGAAAAAAAATTAAAAAAGAAAATGACACAAAAAAGTGGAAGGGACAGCCCATGTTCCTGGATTGGAAGAATTAATATAATCAAAATGGTAATTCTACCCAAATTAATCTACATATTTAGTGTAATCCCCATTAAAGTGCCAGAGACATTCTTCACAGATCTAGAAAAGACAATCATACAATTTGTCTGGAATCATAAAGGGCCTCATATTACCAAAGCAATCCTGCACAAGAACAGTGGATGGGCAGCATCTCACTCCCTAACTCAAAAACATACTACAAATCTGTGATAATCAAAACAGCATGGTATTAGCACAGAAACAGAGAGGACAGGTGTTCCAATGGAACAGAATAGAGACTCCAGAAATAACTCCTAAACATACAGCCAACTGATTTTTGACAAGGGTAGCTGTCAATCCAGTGGGAAAAGGAAAACCTCTTTAGCAAATGGTGCTGGAAAAACTGGATAGCCACCTGCAGCAAGATGAATCTAAACCTCTACCTCTCACTATTGACTAAAATCAACTCAAAGTGGATCAAAGATCTAAACCTAAGACTTCAAAGTATAAAATTACTGTGGAAAAACACTGGAGAAACTCCGAGAGACATTAAGGTAGGCAAAGAATTCTTAAGACCGCCAAAGCACAATCAGTAATCTCAAAAATAGACAAGTGGGATTTCATCAGATTAAGAAGTTTCTGCACTTCCAAGAACACAATAAACAGTGTGAATCGGCAGCCCTCAGAATGGAATTGATTCTTGAATATGATTTGACGATAGATTTAGTGGTGTTGTTTTTTTTTGTTGTTGTTGTTGTTTTTGCCTCCCCCTCTTTTTTAAGAAAGACTTTTGCTATAGGATATGGGCACTCTCTAGTGAGACAGAAAGAGACAGAAAGCAAGAAATAATCCTCCCGGGGGACACCTGCATCACAGTCCCTTCTTCATTCTCCTTTTAGGATCTTGGGCACACATGCACACATACCTTAGTTTAAGCCACTGGGTCCGGGACTCAAATGCAATCGACTGTGGGAGTCGAGCGACATAACCATTATGCCATCTGCTGGGACTAAGGTTTTAGTATAGATAGCCTACTGACCTAGAACCATTTATTTAAAAGACCACATTTTCTCTATTGCATCATAAAATTACCTTTGTTATAAATAAAAGCACAAAATATGTGTGAGCCTCTTTCTGTACTATCTATCTGTGTCATGTATGAATCTGTTCCCCAGAGTTCTATTTCACCTTTCTCTTCTTTCAGCAAAAACATACTAAATCGCTATCACTTTATAATAAGCCTAGTTATTTGGATAAATTACACAGAATTTTTTTTTTTTTTCAAAATCACCTTGGCTGGTCCTGACCCTTTATTTTCCATATGCATTTTTAATTAATTTGTCAATCTTAACAGCAACAAAAAAAATCAAGCATTCTGATTGGGATAACATTGAATTTATAAATCAGTCTGAGGAGAATGTGTGTCTTGAGGCTTTTCATCCATGAGCAGCATGTTTTCTTCCATTTATTTAAGTTTTCTTTAATTTTCCTCAGTAATATTTTAGATTTTTCACTGTCAAAGCCTCTGCATCTTTTGTTAGATCTATTCCTACACATTTGGTTTATTCGATGTTATTAAAATTAAGTTTTCAAAATTCCAGTTTTTGATGTTTGTGTATACATTTTTTTTAAACTTATTTATTTATTTCTTCCATGAATGAGAAACGGAGAGAGAGAGGAAGACAGAATAGCACTCCCTGCTGGGTCTTGATGCAGGATCCATTCCCAGCCTCAACCAGCCACAGATCAGAGGTACAGATATGCCTCATCTCCTCAGAGAGATCTCCAGACATAAACCCGGAGAGTCTTGAAGGTCAGCTTTGTGGAGCATCGCGTTTTACAGCTGTGCCAGTCCAGAAA